ATATAATATATGAAAAATGGATATAATATTGTATACTAGATTAACAGAGAGTATATATTTAATCTTAATATTGGATACAATTCTACTCATAAGCTTTTAATGATATTGTAGATCTATTAGACATGTTATATTTATGTACAATTTAACCTTTTGACTGTAAACTAATTGTATAACAATAAATAATTGTCATTAAGAGACAGTCGGTAATTGCTTTCAATGATATGAATAAAGTTAGTTTCACATGCAATGCATGCACGATAAGTCTAAATATGTACATGTGTATGACAGTTAAAAACATTGTATAACAGTTATTGTTGTTCAATATTAAAAAATCACTTTTAATCTACAATACATCACATATGTATATATATTTAAATTATATAAATTACAGCAAGCGAATGCCGTGATGCAACTGTAGCAATTCTTATCGCATAGCGCATTTGTCTCTTAATCCGCATTTCATTTGCTTCATCCATCGTTCAGTCATAAATAAATTATGCATGTGGGGTCAATTTGGTGGTCCCKCCCTCGCATGGGGCAGGCAGGCAAGCCAAACAAAAGTAAAAGTATTGCCAGAGCTCCGGAGCTCGAAGAGTACAGCCTATAAATTTGTGCAGCAAGTCGCGCCGAGAGCTCAAGACAGATTGAGATACCTTTATATAGAAAGGATGAAAGACAGACCCAAGACCTCAGACCCCAGACCCAAGACCCAAGACCAACGACCGCAGACCGACGACCAACCGGGCAGCCGGGCAACCGGGCAACGCATGTGGTAAGACACATTTGAACTTTAACACACAATCAGAGACCAAAGACGAACGACGAGCAGCGGTCGTCGACGATAAAATACAATAAAAATTTCAAGTTTGCCAGACGAGGGCACGAGGGGACAACGGCAGCCATGGGGGCCAACACATGGCCTGTCGCCAGATCCGTTGAACCGGGGTCAACATTATAAAATCGGTCTCCGCCAGTAACAGCCAGCGGGACTGCAGCAGCGGCAGCGGCAGCAGCGGCAACGATCGAATAATTTATGACCAAGTGCATGGTGGCTGCATAAGTTATAGCCCAGCCGGAGCTGGGCAGCGCCTGGCCAGAGCCCGGGACTCACTCTGGGAGTGGAAGTCGGACAGCAGTTCGGGGTGTTAACTGCCTGATCAGCGACTGCAATTGCAATTGCAATTGTATTTGCAATTACTGCAATGGCATTGGGCCAACAAAAACGATGACGCATCGTCTGCGTCTGCATTAAATATTCATTTCTGCATTTGCAGACGAACTGTCTTCGAGCATGACAGCAACCGCAGCCGAGGGTCGCCAGGGGAGTTGTGCGAGGCACGCCAGCTGTACACCCGTCTATGAAACAGAGAGTATTAGTGTTGTGCGAGGCACGCCGCTCTACTCGTCCGTCTAACCGTTAGGTAAGCAAGTCCTAGTGACGACAAAATACTTAACTGTACTACAGCTATTCTTTAAGTGGGATACTATTGTTCTACAGCTGTATTACTACACCTGTTATGCAACAATGCTATTTAGTGGCTTTATAGTTTCCCAACTGTTATAGAATGATTCTAATTTAGTAGATTCTACCATATACAGCGGTGCTACTTTTCTACACCTGCTCTATTAAGTTTGTATTACCACTACTGCAACTACTGTTCTACTGTTCGATAAAAGTACTACTATAGTTATTCTGTAGCTGTTCTACAACTGTCCTACTGTATTAGTTCTATCGCTGTACTACTACAGCTGATCTAGAAGTATACTATTACAGCATCTATACAAATTTTCTAAATTCTTACGTGTAATAATACCAGATTATTATTATTTTAACAATACTCTACATGTGTATTTATTAGTCTGATACTACTCTGCTAAATTTGTACTAAGATTGTACTATTATTATACCTCTACTACTACTACTATACTATACATACAAATACTAATAATATACTGATACTGCATAATTGCTGTAATACTACTGTTATATTACTACTATACTACTACTACTACTATACTTTTATTAAGATATGTATTATTAGTTGCACTTATATAGTTATACTACTACTATACTCACTACTGTTATACTACTATTACTGTACTAGTTTGCTACAATTACTACCACTACTACTACTGTATTACTACTGTTAGAACTCTGTTATATTATTACCACTACGAATATACAAATACTATTAAAACAGTGTAGTATTACTGTAATATTAATCCTATTATGGCACCAGTAATACAGCATTATAATTTCAACTATTCAAAAACTGTACTACTGAGCTACTTTTACTGTACAAGTGTGCTGCAATTCAACACAAACTGGACTACAACTGTAATAACAATGCACTACTATGTAATTTATACTGTTATACAAGTATACTTGTGTATACCATATCCGTATTACAAACGTATTTAAATCTTTGCATATAAATTGGACTTTATTCGAAATTTATTTATATATGCTTTGTTATAATACGTTGCTGTTTTATAAAGAATTCGTATTAAAATATGCACATTTGTTAATGTATTATGGTAAAGAGTTATTTGAACCCGCTTCAAGTATTTTTAGTCACTTTCGCTTTTGCTTGACAATGCTGAACATTCCAAAAACATCTATGTCAGAGATTTATGGGAAATGGCAAGGAATTCGAAGCAGAAGCCGAAGCTGAAAAATGCAGTCTAGCGTTTCCATTTCTGTGCATATTTTGCAATTGAGTAGCGAAACATTTGAACAAAGCCAACTCGTGTAATAACAAAATCACATTAAAGCCAAAAGAAGGGGAAAACTTAAACAAAAGCGAACTGAAGTAGATACATACCACGAAATAACTGAAAAAAAAAAAAAAAAACAATCATGCATAAAACGCAGCTAATGGACCGCGACGGAAAAGTGAGAAAAAATGCGCAACGAAAATTACAAGGAAAACTGCCACAACAATTAGGAAATCTTTTTGTCCGACTGTCCGACTGTCTCTGTGTCTGTCTCACTTATGAAATGAGCTTGTGCAATGGCCGAAAGCAAGATAAATGCAACAGCGGAGAGACATGTGTATAAAGACATACAGAAATGTGGCATATAATTTAACATTTGGCTCTGGCGAGCTGATGGACACCGCATGTGGGTTAATTACCCCACCAGGAAAAAACGCATTTCACCTAAATCTGTGTCAACGGGATGAGCCCAGGCCTGATGCCAAAAATAATCGCCACAATTCAAACTGACGGTCGAAACATGCCAGACCTAATAATGACAACAAATCTGATACAAGTGAGAACTTTCGCAGTGCAACGAGTCCAACCGACTTAGCAATGCTCTGCTGAGCAAGGCATAAGAGATTTAAGCAAACGAGTAAAAATCTTAAGACAAGGCAGTGGAAGGAGTCGAAAATGTAGAGACAGCGATGTGCTCTAGATTAACTGAATACAATTGAAGTCAATTTCAATTTAAAGTACATTTGAATAATTATTTCAACATTTATAAATAGTTTTATACAAATTTGAATTTTGTATTTCTATTTATGCACCTATTTATTATATTTATTCATTTAATTTATTAATTTAATATGTCTGGGCTAGATATTTAATTTTATTAAAATTACTTCCAAAGTATTTAATCCTAATAATAAAAGGTGTTCTTCAATAATTTGAAGTTAACATAGTATAATGTTTTTGTTAATAATGAAATATTTTTTTTTTTTATCATTTGATGACTCTTTAATCTATACAAATAAATGCTCTTTTGCAAATATTAATATTTTTTTTTTATTATTCATAAGGTTGCTAATATTTTATTATATACATATAT